TCTCCTGATTCAACCCTTCCTGGATTCCAAGTCACTAACTCTGCCTCACACCTTTCAGACTGAGTCTCTGACTTTCTATGCTCTCACAAATTCTGGCTGGGCTCTGCTCTTTAGTACCCACTCTCAGTTCTTCTCTGTGCTGTGTGAGTCTGTTTTCAACCCCCCTTTAAAGAATGTTTTTCATTCTTCAACAGGTTTTTCCATCTAGCAATTCTCTCTCCACTCTGATGGCAATACTTTCTCCGGGAGATCTCTAGCAGCTGTCTGGAATACCACACTCTCTTCTGGGTCTTACCTAACTTCCAGCTTTCCTTTCCTTTACTAGGTCTTAACTGTATCCTTTCTGGTCTACAGGCTTCACAATCCATTCTCCTCAGTGGCTCTTCTTGCCTTGCACTTTGCGAACCAATACATCCAGCAGATCTTGATCTTTCTCTCACAGCTTGTCAGTTCTTACAACGCACGCGCAATCCAGCAAGCTTCGTTCTAGGACTGAGAAAGCTCCCCCTGAAAGACTGTGTGTGATGGATTACACACCACACACAATCCCCTTGGAAAAGCTCTTCCTACCTCCAAAAGAAACCCCCCAAACCATGCATCTCTAAAGAAAAAACAAAACATGTCTCTGATAAACTTACTCTTCCTCTGCCCTGAGTAACTCTGGGCACTGATCTCTGTTTACACAGCTGTACCCCAAGGTTTCCCAAAACAAGATGTTACACTCCTATAACAATCTTTTCTAGGCTCTTCACTGTTCTGGGTGGGGGACACCAGGTTTCGCCTCCACTTTCCAATCACAATTTCTCTGCCACTGCCTGAGCAGGTGTCCTGTAATATACCCTGTCTCTTTCTGTGCCCTCTGCTGCCTCTGTTCTCCCAGGCACAAAGAATCCCAAAGTATCTGTCTCACATTCCTCTAACTGTCTCTGATCTCTCTGAAGCTGTACTGCCTGGATAATACTTTGCCTTGCTATAACCTGCACCTGTAACCTTCACCTTACAGACTCCACAGAAAACACACAAGACTGCTCTTGTAACCATCCACAAAAGACTGTAACCCTTCCTAAGGACCCTAGAGTCAAAGGACCTCTAGAAAGGGTCACTCTGTACCAACAAAATCCCTGATGGATCAGGTTACTGCCCTTGTGTCCCAGCGGATTGGCCAATTGTTGGACTGAATTTTAGGAACCAGCCCCTATACCTTTGTTTCAGGCAAGCACAACCCTCAGATCAACTGCAACACCTGCCATTTGATAATAGGTGATTTATTGATACAATGCGATAACAAAAAGCAACTGTACAAATAATCAAACAATCCTATATCTACCAGTCCTAGGGCTGTCATCAGAGTCAAGGTACATCTGACCAGGATTCAGTCTTCACTTCTGAGGCTCTCTCTTAGGTGTCATCAGACTGGAGATGGGATTCCGAGGCTCACAGCCCCACTCCAGTGGGGTACATGAGACGGGCTGCTGGTATGCCCTCTGTCCATGGTGGCCTTGGGGACCCTCCCTGGGGAACGGGGACAGGGACCCTCAAGTCTTGGCATTTGTCTTTGGCATAACAGCCATCTGCACAGCTTCAACAGACAGCTGACCCTAAGGATTTTTCAACTGCTTAACCTGTTTCTCTAGATGTTAATTAATACATTCCTATACTCCTTACAACCTTCTATTCAGATACCACCTCTGTTTCCACACTTTAAAGTCCACTTGCCTTAAGTCACACAATATATCTTAAAATCCACAGTCATCAACCTCACAACATCTAAATTTCACTTCTAACCTTTGGGTACGACTACAGCCAAGGATTAGTGGTAGGAGCAGAGATCCTAAACTCCTTCCCTAGTACCTTGGGTAGTCTACCGCTGAGAGACATCCATAAATTTGTTTCAGTTAACTTGTTTCTAGCTCATTCCTTCTTTCTCCTAACAAAAACATCTCTGAATCTCTTAATCGGCAAAAATCCAACTTCTTCCATAAGCTCAGGGAATTCTACAGCCCAAGTTGTGTACACCAAAAGAACAATAAACATGGAGCTTCCTCTGTATCACTCCCTTTTCGCAGTTCTCCACCACTTAAACGTTACTCAAATTGCCAATTGCTCAAATCACGAGTGAGACCATATGAGGGGGATAAGGCAAAGTGCCATGTTTATTGATTAAGTGCTTAATACACACACGCACCACATTCATTCCCTGATTTCCGTTCTCTGCTGGTATACATTACCAGTCTTATTGGTGCTCGAGTCAACTTAGTGGCCAGCTAAGTTGATCACAAGTAGAAGCTGGGCTCCTGCCAGTCCATCTTGTAGACGAATCGATGCTTCAGGATGATATGTAGAACAAGACCCAAAATCGATATGTCTCGCCCCATCTTGTATAGTCTTGTCAATTCACCCAATCCTCTGGATTTTTGCTGGATTATCACTGTGTTCTTTCTTGAAGGCTGATTGCTGTTGTTTTCTCTCTGTTCTGGGGCGGATTCTTCTTGTTTGGTCTTTTATCTGTGTGCGTTCTTCAGCCAGTTGCCAGCTGATGTTTTCCTTTTCCACAAACATACTCTCACCCATACAGCATACAAAAGAGTAAAAGGTCAAGCACTTATGTCAACCTACAGAGCAATACAAAATGGAGTTTCTTAAGGCAGTGCAAAACTCAAGAAAATACGTACCATTAAAAGCAATAGGCAAAAGTCTGTGTCCATGTTATTTACCTAACATCAAGCAGGTATTATTTATGCTTTTTGCATAACAATGTTACATGTGTCTTTGCACAATATGATGGTCCTTCTGAAAATAAATTTCTTATCTAAAGTGTTAAATGTTCCCTTTACAAAGTACACAACCCATTCTGCCAGTCTCATTCTAAGGCTGAGTGGAAGAGAGTCTCAGTTTGGGTGACCAAACAGCCAATTTTGCTATTAGTAGTTCTAATTCTGATCATTCTGGACTTTCTGCTTTTCCTAATGTGGGCTGTGCTCTCTTATCAGTCACATCACAATACACAGATAGCAGCTATTTTTGCAAATGACCCTGTCAGTACAGGCTTGTAGTGTATTTACTCACCCTTCCATGCTGAAATTTCCAAAAGGCCTCTTTATCATTTTCTGCCAGTCAAGTCTTTCTTTTTTGAAACCTCTGCTTGATTCTGACTGGATTAATAGGAGTGCATAAACAATTCAAAACTTTGTTAAAGTGCTGCCTGTATTCACCTGTCTTTGAAGAGAATGTTCCCTACGTTGACCAGAAAAATCAGTGAAATACAAGTCCTTGTGCTGGGCCATCCACATACTATATTTCAGGAGTAGCCAGCCTGCAGCATGAATGCTGTAAGTGGGACATGCCACTGCTTTGTTTGTTACATAGAAGATCTCTCAGGGAGCAGGGAGAACAATGCAGATAAGGCAAGGAGGGGAGCAGAGCAATGGATCAGGCAGAGGAGGGTGATGGGAGTAGCATTTGAGGAGGAGGTGCAGCTTACTTTGTGGCATGCTAGCCAAAAAAGGTCCCGCTGTTCTACTCCATAAGGACAAATTTGTCCCTAGGCCCAATGCCAGGCTTTTGCATAAAGTTGTCTCAAACTTTCACTTCAGTCAGTTTGAACATGTCCTCTTATTTATCATGAAATTGCACTCTAAACTAGATCAAATTAATTTGCACAGCTTAAATATGAGGGCTTTATCCTTTTATTTGTAGAGAACAAAGTCATTTAGGACGCATTTGGAACTGCTCTTGGCTTTCTTACAGTAAAATGAAATGCTGCCTCCAGTCAGAGATTATCCAATGGGATTTCAGACTGCATCAAGATGTGCTGTGAGGTGACAAAAAAGACCTGCAGGCCACGCCAGGGTTCGTTCCACTAGGGTGCATGCAATAATTGCAACTCTCTTGGCTAACATTCTGATTTCTGAAATATGTAGTGTGTGGGGCTGCATGAAGCTTTGTTAGCATGTTCATCTCCTGCTGCTCCACTACTCCCGTTCAGGCTTCTAGATCAGACGTTACATTTGCAAGTAGAGATGTCTTGTAGTCTCTCCTTTTGTCAGGAGAAATGATTTTAGTCAAGAGCAGAATATAGGTGGACTATCACTTGAAAAAAGAATGGTTACTTTACTTCACAGTGACTGTGGCTCTTTGAAATGTGTTGCCCATATATATTCCATGATCTGCCCTCAATTCCTACAATGGTGGTATAGAATGATTTTGGTAATAGTGGGAGCCTTGTCCCACCAGCCAGTGTCCAGAACACTGGGAATATAAGGTCTTAAGAGGTTTGACAGTTGTGTATGTCTCATTCTAAAGATCTAATAGCTGGGAGTGTAAATTGTGCTAGAGTTGGTGTCTAGTAAAGAAGCATTAGGACTGACAGTACCCAAAGCGGTAGGCACTTATGACCTTTAGGCACATGCTACAAATTACAGTCCATACAGGTGATGTTTGTTACCACTGCTGCTTGTTATACACCCCAGGCAATTATACAATTATGTACCTGCGCAATTTTGCTCATGAAATGTATGACTGAGCATAATCACATAATGTTGCGTAATTCCCTGGGGTGTAGCTGGTGAGTGGGTAGGGGAGCTTCTGCCTGCAGTGGGTGTGGGGGGTTGGCCCTCACCCACCCCCCCACCACATGTCCCTCACCCCATGGTGCACAGGCACCGGCGGCAGCAGACCCTCAGGGCTCTCCTGGCCAGGGCAGGCAGAGGCCCTGGCAGCACATGACTGGAATCCCGGAAACTGAACATGGCTCCCGCCTACAGTGCTGCAAGCTCCACATGCTTGCACAGAGCCATCCCGGTCTGGCCTGAAGGCATGCCCTGCACCCCACCACACACAAATACCTGCATATGGTTCTAAAGAATGTTCAAATAGTGTTATATTTAGTTTAATTTAAAAGAAAAAAAGTAATTTTGCATAATTTTGAATTTTCTGTGGATAATTCCCTGGGGTATATTGTTATTAATAAAACAAATGTTCCCATGTCTGTTTCTTGCTAGGTGGTGAGGACTAACCAGTTTTCAGTTACCCGGCATGAGAAAATAGCGAATGGACTAATAGGAGACCAGGGCCTCCCTGGTGTATTTGTGCTTTATGAGCTTTCTCCTATGATGGTGAAACTGACAGAGAAACACAGGTGAGGGAAATGTTCACTCCCATTATTCACCTTACTTCCAACTCGTCTGCTTGCATAGCCTCAAACTCCTAGGTCATGCAACACACTATGATAGCTGTATGTTATATATGACAGAGCATTATCCGTGATAGACATTTTCTTTAGCACATCCGTTTAATTAACGGTAGGAATAGGACAAGCAGTTGTACAATGAAAGAGCAAATCTTTCTAACCGTGGGCAAAAGCAATCAGGGCTTGTGGAAGAGGTGATATCTTTTATTAGACCAAGATTTTTGCAAAAACAATCTTTAATTGCAAAATTTCAGGCACAATAACCTTCATCAGACATCAGAGAAAAGATTATAAACGTTCTCCTTATAAAAGTCTCCTAGGTAGAAATGAAAGTTCATGTTTCATAGGATTTCACAGAGGAGTCAATAAATGGAAAGCTCCTTTGGGCAGGCTGTTCCTAGCTGGGTAAGGAGTCTCTCAGCTCTCTTGTGAGGCTCTGCTATGATGAAAATTACCTTGAACCAAGGCAGGAGCTGTATCTCAGGTTTCAGGTGGTCACTGTTGCTTTTTGCTTGGAAAATTATGAAGATTTCATTTTAAAAATCAGCTAAAATTCTATATCTTCCATGTGTCAGGTATCCAGGTTGTTGCTGTATTGGTCTAGAGGAAAAAGCAATTCGGGCTCATGGTAGAGGTGATATATTTTATTAGACCAACAAAATTTTTGCAAAAAATATTAACTTTCATTTCTACCCAGGAGAACTTTTGCAATCTTTTCTCTGACGCCCAAAAGCTTGCAATTAATTTTTTTTTTTTTTGCAAAAATCTTGTTGGTCTAATAAAAGATATCACCTCTACCACAAGCCCTGATTGCTTTTTCCTCTACACCAATACAACTACAACTTGGATACCTAACCATGGGCAAGTCATTTAATCTCTGTTTCAGTTTTCTTATCTGGAAACGAATTGATACTTTGTAAAGCATTTTTTCTAATGGTTGAAAGTGATATACTGTATTTTCTTGTATATATCACATTCCCAAATATAACATGCACCGTTTTGGGAAGATGGGGTGAATAAAAAAAGATTTTTTCTTTAAAATACCAATAAGTTATTTAATATAACAAATTATCAAATCCAAAATCCCTACATGAAATAAGTTATAAAATGCAAAAACTACATATGGGCTTTGCATGTATTTCACATCCCTTATTGCAGTATTGTGGTATGTCTCTACAACAGAAGCCAGCGGTGAAACACCAGCACCTGCAAGGGGTTGAGGGAGCTGTCACTGCTCCATTAACTAACTCCCTAGCTACCACTATTCACTCAGCATCAGTGTCTGCAGGACAGTAAGAGTAGCTTGTTAAGTGGAAGGACAGGGATGGGGATGGGGGACAATCAGAGCTGAAGCAACCTCATCTGGTGCCCTGGGCAGAGCAGGAAGGAGGATGGAGCAGGGTATTGTTTTGCTCCTGAGGCCTTACAGCTGAGGGCACGCTAAACTTGGGGGAATCCGAACCCTAAGCCTCTGGGCTTGGGCCTACACATAGGATGCCTGCCAAATGATTTGGAAACAACTGAAGCCCCAGGTTGGGGTAGAGGATGTTTACTGGTAGTAGAGCCGCTTATGGTTCTTGACTGACTCACGGATCTGGAATTGATTTGGCTTGGAACATGGAAAAATTTGATTTAAAAAATAAAATCTTGTGACCTCTGGAGAGGTGGGGGGCAGAGTCTTATCTGCTTCAGCCAGGGCTCCCTGCTTTCTAATCCAGGTTGTTCTGAGACAGCGGCACCCTGGCTAGGGACAGAGGCGACTCTGACCAACCTACTCTCTGTCCAGAGCTTCTGTGAGCTGTCTGTAACTCCAGCTCTGGACAGACTCCTTGCAGCAGCACTGCAGTGCAGGCTACCCAGGGGATGCCCAGGGTTAGTGCTCTGCTCACTGCTATCTGCCTTGGTTGGCAGCTAAATTGCATTACCATATTTCCTTGCACCCAGATTTTCAGCTTGTTTTTGGAAAAAAGATGCAGGTTGTACACAACGAAATGGAATATAATAGATGTTATGATTATATAGAAATCAGCAAACTGAAAAGCTAAGCTTCCTATTTTAGTTACGTGGTATGCACGGTATGTTGTATTTTCTGTCCGTACCTGTGTTGTGGATCCTGCTGTAGGGCCCATAACAAGCACACAAAACCAACCCTTTTGTTTAGCGTGTTCTCTCAGGGCTACACATGCACCTTGTTTCTCCTTGTGGAACGAGAAGGTGACAAAAACTGGTCTTCAGTTCCTTCCTATCTTTCACAGCAACTACATGGACACTAGTGCCTGCTCCAGTCTCCTAGGTTTTAGCTCAGGGGTGGACAAAAATACAGCCTGTGGGCCGGATCTGGCCCACCAGCTGATTGTATCTGGCCTGTGGGTGGCCAGCCCCAGAGTCATGGGGAACCACCAGCTCAAGCAGCACTGGGTGGGCACTGGTATCAGCTGTGGACACGGCCTGCAGGTTATGGGTGGAGATTGGGGCATCTGCCTGGGTCCACAATTAACACTGCTGCATCAGCACAATCACCCCAATCCCTTCTCCCTTGGGAAGAAATACAATTTATAGCCTTATTTTTTGTGGAAATAGACTTCTAATAAGTTGCATAAATAATGCTTAGGCAAGCACCAGTTTTAAAAAAGCCGTTACAACTACAATTTTACAGAGAGGGTATTATTTATTGTTCAGTTCTTTACAGCATATTCTGATGCTCTGACTGGTCTATGCTACCTGACTTCGATTTCTGAGATTTACTTTGGCAATTAATATGGCCTTTTCTTTTGTAAGTTTTTCTGAGTTCCAAAATGAATTAGCTTGTCTTACAAAGGGAGTATCAAGAGCATATTAAGGTAACTTAAGGAACAAAGCATGATTAGAATTAGGTGACAAAGTAACCCCCTTCCAGTTAGACTTGCTTGCCAAGTTACTGTGTTCATATGGCTTTAGCTTCTCAAGTTGGCACCTGGAGGCAGATGTTAATGTTGCACCTACACTTAATTGTTCCTTTTTCTGCAGTCATTTGGGTGTCATTGACATTCATATTGACTGCATCCTTTTTTTTTTAAATACTTCATCTTTAATACCCATGTAAGGAAGTAACTTGTGTCAAGGGTATCTTTGTCCTTTGTAGGCGGTATGTCTGTTGAAATGAAACCAACATTCTATGCTAAAATGTGTAACTCAAAAGACTGCTGTGTTCTGTGATTCCCTTCATGGACATTTTGAACTGTGCCTTTTGGTTCTTTGTTGTTCACTTATTTTAAGTGATTGTTCTGGCTTCTTTCAATAAGAATATAGCAAGATTTATCTGGGGCAGGAGCCACCTGGCAGCAGCTCCCCCCTGCCTGGTTGAGCATGTGGTTCACAGCACAACACTTCCCCATGCTACCTGCTGCCCTGCGTAGAGCAGCAGGGGCAGGAGAAGGAGGAGCCACTGGAGGCGGGGTGAGCCAAGCACTACCTGGGTGTATGTAGTGGCAGCAGCCCCGTTGTGCCGCTGTGCATGATGACCAGTGTTGGTGCATAGGGCTGTGTGAAACACCATCATTTCATTTTGACATCCGTTTCGCCATTTCAAAGGGACAGGGTTTCATTTCATTTCGAAACGCTGTCCTGTTTCATTTTGTTAAAACTGTTTTGCTGTTTTGATGAGTTTAGACGAAACGGGGACTGCCAGCACGCCTCCTGAGTCCTGCATGCATGAGCCCTGTGCCATCCAGCTGGGCTACTTCTGTGCAAGCAGGACCTGGGCCAGCATGGCCGGTGGTCACCTTGAGCAGTGCACAGCCCCAGGTGGCAGCCCGGAGCTGCCCAAAAGCATACAGCCCCACGCTGCGCCAAGCTGGGCCTCAGCAGCGTGCTGTGGCAGAGGCTGCGCAGATACCTGGCGGCTGGGACTGAGCTGCACTGCCCCCCGCTGAGCTGCATGTCCCCCCCAAGGCCAAGAGTGCAGCTGCTGTTGCTGGTAAACTGCAGGGGACCTGGAGCCATGTGAGGGGCACGCAAGGGGACTGGAGCTGGGCGGGGGTCTCAGAGGAGGCTCAGGCTGCTACCTGGGACCAGCACTAAGCACAGCCCACACCTAGTGCCGGGGAAAATTGCTGCTGCCGCTGGTCCCAGGCAGCAGCAGCAGCTTCCTCTTATCCAGCGCGCAAATCTGGGGGCTTGCACCCTGCAGGACGGGGGTGCTTTTTGTCCCCCAGCTCCAGCAAGAGATGCATGGGCGGAAGCCCGTCACACCCCCATTGAGCCTAGGGACCGCCAGGACCCCCAGCGGGACCCCGGCCCAAACTCCCAGCACAGCCAGAGGTAGGCAAGGCCTGCGGCAGGGAGGGAAGGACCCCCAACCCAGTCAGCTGCAGGGAAGCTGAGTGGGAGCTGAGGAGAGGCACGCTCCTACTTTGCCCAGCCCCCAGGGAGCCACGCGACCGGAGCCTCGCGAACAGGACATGCAAACAAGTGCACTCGTCTGCCTGGCATGGGAGTTAGTGTGGGAGTTTGCACAGGAGGGTGAGCGGGAGGGCCCCAGGCTCTGCCTGTGAGCCCCTAGGGTAGGCATTCCCATCAGTAGCCAGACTCCCAGTGGCACAATGTGGATGGACACATGCCGCATCCTGAGGGTCCCCTTGGAGTCTGCAGCCTCCCCCTCTGGCACATCTGAGGTCTCCACTGAGACAGAACCCATGATTCCAGACTCCACGCAGATGGAGCCTCTGGCTTGATTGCAGGGGCAGCCTGGCACATTTCCAGGCACACGGGACCAGGAGCATGGCCACCTCCCCTTGCGAGGTCTGCTTCACTTTGGAGTCTCTGGGGCACCAGATAGAGGAGCTCCAGGCCACAGTCCAGAGACTGTGTGCCATCAGGGATGGCGAGCAGGAGATAGACTCCTACTGCCAGGCCTTCACCCCCTGGAGGCGGAGGGTAGACCAAGGTCACGTTCCAGGACAAGGGAAGAC